TATTATATATATATTATATTAGTATTGTATTATATTCATAATTATATTATATTACTTGTGGTGTTTTAAATAATACGTTATTACAATATTTGGCTATTTTGATCTTGGCGATTTCTTGTGGAAACATCAATCATAGTTAGCGAGAATTCGCGGCGAAATATAAAAAAATAAGCTCTATTATTGTATCCTCGGCCTCGAATTCGCGCTGACTGTGAATGAGAAGTTACTCTGCATTCATAGTTCGCCCAAATTCTTCGCGCTAACTATGAATGCAGGGGCAATGCGCAGGGCGTCTCTAACCTTTCTTTTACAATCTCAGGGGGCTCATAAAAAAATTATTATCATAATTACCATTTTTTTAAGCTAACATTATTCAAAATTACCTTTTTTTCTAATATTATCTAAAACTACCCTTTTTTTAAAGCTAACTTACCTATTTTTTTTATAATAGTATATTAAAAAAAATTAAAATTTTGATGGTGCTCAAGCTCCTGCCTCCTTCCTTCACCCCAAGGGCGCTACTGGCAATGCGGCAAGTGATATTAACTTTGATATTTTAAATTATATTAAGAATCACAAAATTGATTTAGATATGTTAAATAATATAATAGAAATAATTTAAATTAACACCATTTGGCGAATAGACCAAATCGTCATAAGGTTGAATGACAAAGTGTTTGAAAAAATTTAAAATTTAAAAAAAAACAATGAGATTTATGATGTTAAATTATTTGCTTAAATATATTTACCAATTTGATTTATTTTTTCTGCAATTTTTCATTATAATATACAATTTTTAAAAAATATTTATTTATATTTTATACAAAATTTCCCATTTTTATACCCCAATTTATTTATATAATATTTACATATCATGTTATTATATATTATTTTTAAAAAAAGTTTGACATATTTTGATCTTACCTATTTAAAGTTTTATATTATATCTTATTAAAAGCTTCCAAAGTATCTTATATCTTAGATGTAAAATTTCGAAATATCTACCTGTATCCGATATGATTTTCTGAAAATTTTTCCGATCCTCACTTTTATTTTGATAAAATATTTACCATCGTGTTTAAATATTAGATTAAAAAAAATAAATAAAACCAAAAAGTGTCAGGCCGGGATCACTAGCTAATTTATTAATACGATCATCAATACTTTAAATAAAATAAGTTGGAATTTGTATTTATCTGACATGGGCTAAATTTAATTATTTTACTAGTTAAATTAATTTAATTTTTATACTAATAATATATTATTAAAATGGTGCAAAAATATGTTTACTTAACTATTATTTGAAATACGGAAGAAAAAAAAATAAATATTTATTGGGAGTATATGCTAATAATAATGTATACATATTTTTTAAAAATACTGGCAAATTTCTAATAAAATATGGAGACCTTTTTTTTAAAAAAGCGATATTATAGTTAAACTATTATGGTAGACCTAAATTATGACGATACCCCAAAAGGTGCAAACCATTAATAAAATTGTTCGTTCATTTTAAATGAGATATATATTTGCCTTTTTTCGTTCCTCGTGCATAGTTATATTAAAAAAATTAAATATATTATTTCTTAGGATGTTTCAAAAATATCGAAAGCATTTGATTTGGGCGAAAAGTAAAATATTAAAATAAATAATATATATATTTTTTTATTTTTTTAGATATTTTTTACCCCCCGCAAAAAATTTCGATTGATTTCATTTAAAAATAAATATAACTTTTTGGAAATGTTTTATTTTATTCCTTTAGGAATTTTGAAAGTCTTCATTAGAAAACACATTAAAACTCTTCAATTTGAATCCTCAACTAGTTAAATTATACTATGCTCTCCTCAGCATTGATGAAATATCTATCAGACATCACGTTCATTGGAATGAAACAGAGTTCCATGGTAATGAATTCAATGGTTCCACAGTGCTTAAATTCAGAAATGAGATATTTTGCAAAGACTAGAATTATGGCCACAGAAGCACTAAATACTTGTACTGCTAATTTCACCTTATATATACAATTTTACCTTTATCTTGCTTATAAAATGGATGTAACTTATATATTAATTTTAAAAGTAACATGATAAATTCTTTTAAAAGTTACGTTTCCATCTTTGACGAGTAATTTGGCACTGGCTAGAAAATTTCTTAAAAGTTTCATCACGTCACTTACATCTAGTATCATATATAGACCCATACGACACTATTGATGGTGTGGCTGAAATATGGAATTGGATTTTTAGGATTTAAGCAGCACCAAGTTATTTCAACATTCACTTGTTAGCAGCTAATCCATCACATATTAATTTACAAATAACTCCAGTTTCATATATGTGGTAGAGAGCATTCATAATTAATTTTTTTTTAATGATTCGGATTTCACATTAGAATCCAAGTGGAATATTCCTGGACCTATTGATACAAGTTTTTTATAAATAAAAGTTGCTGTTGCTACTAGGAGAGATTCTGACACTCTTGCTTAAATCCACAGGAACTCTGTTTTATCACAATGAATGTGAAGACCGATAGGTATTTCATCAATGCTGAGACCACCGTATAACTTGCTGGATGGTGGATTCTCTTTGGAAACTTTTAATTTTTTTTTTCTTATGAAGACTTTGAAAATCGTATAGGACTAAAATCAAATCTTTTGATAGTTTTATTTAAGATATATTAGATAGGCTTAATCTCTGTATTGTATGAAGCTTCAGTCTCTCAAAGAAAAATTGGCTCTTTAACTATAAGTTTTAGGTGAGTAGAAATAAATGATATTTAATTTTTGACTCAATCAAGTTTTGGGTTTTTACGAATAATAATAAGGAGAGACCCATAAACATCCGATAATATTTTGACCATTACATATATAAAGTCTTTATTTTTCAAGGACTTAATTTATAGTCTTTAAAAGATATTTCTTAAAATCCTGAACAATATATGTGAAGGAGAAAAAAAAACTAAATAATTTATATATTTGTTTTTATATAAATGATATAGCGAACTGGTACAATTGAAGTCGGAGGAACGAATCAAGCAACAAGCATCGATTAAAAAGTTTTAAATTATAATTTTTTTCCCGAAATACGTTTTATTTTAAAATACATTTTTGTTTATTATTAACCAGGGCTGGCAAGTCAATCATTGACTGAAAGCATATTTGACCAATCAAATTTCTAAAATGTTATTTTTGTGTAAGGTATTGTAAAAAAACCTTGATTTATCAGATTTTTTAAAAATAAAATCTGGTTACTAATAGCCTTGGTAACCCAGCGTTTTATTTTAATGAAAACTCCAAAATAAGGGAATAATTACCAAATGTTTTACAAGCTAAACAAAATAGCAAAACGAGCGACAATGATCTCAATACGTTACGGTAATTATGACATAGTAATATTTTTGGGAAGAAAGATTCGTTCTAAGTAGTTGTTCATTGAAAAAAGAGGTGACGTAGCTTACACAACAATCTACTAAAATTAAATTATATAATGTACCAGATGCTTTTCTATTGAAAGAATATAGCTAAGTGATCGAATCATGAGCCAAATTTTGGCTGGTCTTTATAATATGAGCCTGAAGTTGAATCCGCCTTTTCTTTAGAAATCACATGGGGGCTGCTGTGATATTTTCTTTAATCGGGGAAAGGTCCCGTTGATTATTCTTAGGCAGTTCTTAATAAAGGATTGTAGCTTTCTATTTTCTTTATTTAATCCCCAAAAGAAGGGGAATATTTTTCACATTTGTAACATTTAAGTTACACAAGGATAATCAATTTCGATATCCATTTGCATTATTATATAGTAAACTATTAGATTTTTTAAAAAAATTGTTTTTACTCTATGAGGTGTAATAATTTAGATATAATAATATGGGGAAATTTTTAATAATAAAAAAAAAATTAATTATGTCAATTACTAGGTGGAGTCAATATTGACCCATGACATTAAAAACGTTCATAACTCATAAACTGCCGGGCAGGACAAAAATTAATTTTGCAAACATACTTAACCATAAAATTATTAAGTTACTGAAAAACTAGGATCGAAATATCTAATAGATCTCATGATCCAGAGGGTTAAATAATTTAATTTTGAACAATTGTTGTTAAACTCCAAAATTTTTAAATTATAGTAACATTAACAATACCCGATTTCGTGGTACCTATTGCGTTCAAGGCCTGAAATCCATCTCAGAAAAAGATCTCATAACCCATTCCATATCCAACAACATTAAGGATTTGTTGTCAAAAAGCGATGGCCGAAAATCACTGACCAAACCTAAAAATAGGCTACCCATTGGTTCAACCATCAAGAGAACAATCAAATTCAAATCCCTTCACACATTTCTGAGAAATTTTGCCACCAAATTTATAAAATATTGCTATAATCCTTTCATGGCCAACGTCAAAGTATACTATTAAATAGATTTTACTGTTTAAAATGTTTTTGTTACTATATTTAAACGGAGACCTTTCTGAAAATATCCATATTGAAAAAAAATGTAAATTTTAATTACAAACGATCACGTGTATGATTGGTCGAACATATAATTTTTAAAAGATCAAAGATAGAAAGATTTTTTAATAAAACTACACCAATAACCTAGACTGACTAACAATTCATTATAACGCATTATAAGTGTACCTGTCATTGAAGTTTGTCATTGTAAAAGGCATTTAAATGAAATGCCTTTCATTGCCTTACGACAGCCAATGACATTGACTACAGCCTACTTTAAGAGTATGTACATTTTTAACATATATATCAATCAGTATAACCCTGCATTCACAGTTGGTACAAATTCGCAGCGAAGTATATAAAAATACAGTATTTTGTAGTTCATCTCGAATTCGTGTTAACTGTCAATAACTCCTCATTTATAGCACGAATTACGGTGGAGAATACAAAAATACGTGTATTTTAACTAACTAAGAAATAATTAATTAATATTATTATTTGTATTTTCCCTAAAAGAATAAATTGGCGCGTTTCAACTCCTCACTGGAATCGGATGAGACGCGTTATTTATGGGCCATTTCCTTTTTCATGGAATTTTCTAGAGAAACAGATCTTGATGTCAAATATTATAGGTATATATATCACTATACTTGAAAAAAGATTTGTAAATACTTTTCTAGCTATCATTTTATTTTATGACCACTTAATATGTTTGTGTTTTTGATGAACAGATAGAAGCGGTGAAAATATAAAACATTTTGATAATATGACCTTAATGGGTCAAGCTCAAGGTTGGGAAGTGGTCTTAAAGATCTAGCTGTAATTTAGATATTGTTATATATTACAACCATACGATATGAATAAATTACATTTATATGATTTAAAACATTAAATTAAGAATACAAAATCATAATGATTTTAATTCTTTTTTTTAAAAAAAATTTTTTTATCTCCATCTTTAGTCAAACATTAAACAAGGATATCGTTCATTATTTGATAAACAACATGCACAAATATATCGACAGCTTGATGATGGACAAAGTAGATGGCGTTATATGGGGGAAAAGGTTTTAATTTTTCATTCACCAATGTGGTTTATAATAATTTAAGCATCCATTTTAACTGGGGTAGCTAATTTTTATTTCATCCTTAAAAAGAGATCGGCGAATGCTATTTTTATATATTTTTAGGATTATTTCTAAATTTGTTTACTATGTTGAACGAATTATGATAGTCACCGACAATGTTTATATAAGTGTTTTTTAAGTGGTAAACTTAGCTCGGAGGTTTTTGACATGTGTCAGTCAATGGACCCAAAACCAATTTGATGTTATTCCTTCTGTGAAACTTGGCGGATAACTATTTAGAAAAAATGTTCTGACCCGCTTGATCTAATTAGGTGGATGTGGACTGGATGTTACTTTATACTTATTTTTTTTAAAATTAGTATTGGCTGCCAATACCAATATCTAAGATCATTGTCACCATACACAGTGAGATCTAAACGTTGACAGATTTATTGGGGGTGGGGAGGGGTGCGAGGTATTGACATTTCAAATATTTTGTAACCATCAGAATAAATCTTTTGATTAAAATATATAATTGGAATTATATTCGAATGCAGATGCTTTTTCAATTATATCTAAGATAGTGCTTTCGAAAATTGTTCTATAGAATTAATTGTGATTCGGGGATCTCATTTTAAATGGTTTACTGAGAACGATTTTTAAATCTAAAAAAAATCTTATTTAACCGATGTATTTCTACATGTATAGAGTTACCCACACTGTAAATTTTAGACAATTTTGTCTAGAACTATTGAAAACTTCATAATTTATATAACTTTTTCATATAAATTTAAAAATAGGCAAATGTTCATTTGCTATAAATTATTTGAAATATTTTTAGGGTAGGGTAATCTACATTGGTAAAATTGGTGGGAATTTATTCTTCCCCCCCCCCCCTATATTTATATGCTTCTTAATATTATGTTAAAATACATTATTACGCTATATTATTAACGGAAATCTGGTAGCAAACCTTCCCTATAAGATCTTGCAAGATTTTATATCTTCACAATAGGGAAAACAATATTTACAACTCATTTTTTTATTTTCAATATAAATATAATATAATCATTTATTTTGACATAATATTTGTATAATGACAATGTGAATTGCAAGACACATTAGATACCTTGCATTTCATCTATTCGTCCTACAATTTTGTTTGCAGTGACAAACTCCATATATTTTGTCTGACGTTGATTAATTTGTGACATCATAGATGGGTTCCCGTTCTAAATCGCTAAAACAAAAATCGCTAAAAATTGGGAACATGGCTTATATCTCCTAGAAAATTTTTAAAGTAAATTTGAAATTAATATTAATAGATACTAGGAGATTAAATACTTGTATTTAAATTGAAAATTTGAAAAAAAATCGCTAAAATGGAAGAAATATCATCCAAATTCCCAAATTAATTTCAAATTTACTTTAAAAATTTTCTAGGAGATATAAGCCATGTTCCCAATTTTTAGCGATTTAGAACCTATCCCCATTGATGTCACCTAAAAATTTAAAATATTATAAACATTTTATCATTAAAAAACATTTATAAAAAAATGAATTTATAATAATCGCCCCTGATGCATTTACCTTTTTTTATATAAGTAAGTTATAATTTATCAATTTAGAAAGGATAATAACTTAATGGATGGAAATTGTTTTTCAACATTAGGCCAATTGGATAACCTAAAGGAAAATATTCATGAAATTTTATTATATTTTTCTAAATACCGTCATTATCCAATTCATTTGACGCGCACTTTCTATAAATTAAGATTTATTATTTTGCAAATTATTGAATATAGAAAGCGGATAATTTGGCAAAATGACTATGAGCCCCCTTTAGTTGATCCTCATTAATTAAGGGTTTTATCTCTTGATCACCCAAATTATCTAATAAATTAGACAAATTATTTTGCTAAATAAGGTATATACACATTCTTGAAATGAATTGGAATTATTTTCAAATTTTGCTGTAAAATGTTATATATTAATTAATGCATCTTATCAAACAAAGAATGTATACCAAGATCAGGAGAGGGGCAATATTGATTAAGTAAACTAGTAATAACTGTAAAATATGCATCTTAAAAATATATCTCAGGATCCGGTGATAGATAATCTTCTCAGATAGATTTGTTACTGTTTTCAAAATCATCTACAAAATATTATATTATAATTAAAGAAAAATATATTGCCAGGATCTTTCGAATCTGTATAATCTACCAGATTTTGGCAAAGGCTCATATCATCATCCAAATTAGCTGTAATATATTATAACGAATTGATCGTATAATAATAATAAAAGAATATACCAGTATCCTCTCCTGGATCTTCCGATTTTTGTGGTTTAAGTAAATTTATGATCGCATAGAAATATAATATTTTGGAGATGATTTTTAAAACAATACCAATTCTATCCGAGAAAATTACCGATCACTGAAGTCTGGTTTAAAGATGCATAAGTTATCATATAATATTTTACAGCGACTAGTCCACTTAGAGATTATCCATCACCGATTTTGTCAATTTATCCACTTTCTATATTCAATAATCTGCAAAATAATAAATCTTAATTCATAGAAAGCGCGCATAACACCTGGTATATTCGAATGAATTGGATAATGACGGTATTTAGACAAATATATAAAATTTCATGAATATTTTCCTTTCGGTTATCCCATCGGCCCAATGTTGAAACACAATTTCCGTCCATTAAGTTATCATCCTTTCTAAATTCATAAATTATAACTTACTTATATATAAAAGAAAATACATCAGGGGCGATTATTATATATTCATTTTTTAAAAAAATGTTTTTATGATAAAATGTTTAAAATATTTTTATTTATTTTAGCTGGCATCGATGAAGTAGCCCATGAATCAAGGTCAGAAATAATATATGTGTAATCTGTCACTGCAAAGAGAAGTGTACGACTAATAGATGCATATGCAAGGCATCTAACGTGTCTTTCAATTCTCATTGTCATTCTGCAAATAATATATGCCAAAATAAATGAATATTTTAAAATAAAAAAATGATTTGCCAATATTGTTTTTCCTATTGTCAAGAGATAAAATCTTGCAAGATCTTTTAGGGAACGCTTGTTACGAGATTTCTGTTAATTATATGGGGTAGAAATGTATTTTAAACATAAAATATAGACGTAAAATAAATTAGTAATTTATCTTACAACGTATAAATAAGGAGTGGGGGGGGGGGTAAGTAAAAATCGCCACCCCTTTTATCAAATGTGTCTGATTTGGTAAATATTATTTAAAAAAATAAAGAATTTACCCCTATCAAAAAACTAAAAATGTGTATATGATGTTATAAATATATAAGAAAATACTAAAAATTACGATTTAGGAGGAGTATAAACTCAGAGAAAATTTTAACCAAAAACTGGCCAGTGGCCTTCAGAAAGGGTGCCTAATTAAGTAAAAATTACCCAAAGGCCTTCACCTCTCGCAAAAAAATCTTAGATAATAAAGATTCAACACGTGTCTTTTATTGTAATGTTTTTTTTTATAAACAGAACTCACCAAGCTCTGATGGCATACAAGCAAATAATATTTAATTTGAATCGTTTAAGTTATTCTGAAATCGAAGAGGTCAGGGAAGGTGTCAAGATTATCAAAGGTAAAATTTTGCAAAGTTATAATATCATTTTTAAAAAAATAATTAAAATATTAAAATGAATGTTAAAAACCGGTATCGAATCAGTTTTAAAAACCGGTATCTGATATTGGGTAAATGTTAGCAGATCCGTCTTTTCTTAAAATTACAAATATCAGCGCTAATTTTATAAACAATATTAATATCGGTGCTGTCCCTTGTTTTTTGTGCATTTGAAAACTCAAAAAAAAAGAATAGCATAAAGATTTAATTATTTAATCGAAAACATGTTCGAATCAAATTAATGGTGGCTCCTACAAAAAAATAAGCCTTGATTATTATGATCAATCACATTGGGGGTGTGTGGGTTGGGACACATACCATTTTAAAGAGGGGGTCAATATAATGTAGAGACCATCTTTTGAGGGTTTAGTAACTCTGAATTTTTATTCTAATTATAAAATATCATCATATTTACATTTATTTTCTCCTTATTCTAGCTAACGTGTTCTACGTTCCAGAATACAGAGATGTTTTAATCCAATTGTTCAAATCGTTCAATCCTATTTATTATTCATTGTAAGTTCGTTTCAAAATTTATAAATTGAAACGAAAAATTTTCTAATAATATTCCTTGGCCTTATATATTATTATATTCTATTTTATAAAAAAAGGGATTACTTGAAAGATTTAATCGAGACTACACACGTGTTCATCAAAATGCTGAAAGGTTATTGTCAGGAATACAAAAATTTAACGGTGAAAAAACGGAAAAAAAGCAGAAAAATTTCTAAGAAAACGACTAAAATTCGCGAATCCAAGGATAGCGCCTTAAAGGAAAGTAATTAAACATAAAAAACGAGATAAAATTTTTATTAATATACATATTTAATATGAATTGGAAACCGAATTTTGGGTTTATAGTGACTTATAATAATTTGATTTTTTTTAAAAAAATAGAAGATATTAATCTAGAAGAAATTTCTAAGAATTGGAACGAACAAATAGAAATTGGTTTATCGGAGATTATAAAATCCTATTCGGACATAGAAGAATCTATCAATTTAGATAAACATAGCAAAGTCTTTGATCCCATATCTCCTATAACGATAGAGGAACAAAAGTTAATTTTTTTAGTATTATTATCTAATAATAGTAGGGCTAAAGGCCTTGCCATAACGTTCGAGAGTATATAAGGTTAGAAGAGGGCAAATCAAAAATTGTGGATTGCACATTTTTATTTCGAAAATTTGCACATTTCGAGCTTTTGATTTTCAATTTTTTTTTTATCGTACTATCTAATTTGTATTAATTCTGAATCCTAATAATTTCTGTATTTTAGAGTAATAGGTGTATTTATATAATATATTTACAACTGCCCTGATAACTATATGTTTTTAAGGCTTTTTTTAAACCTTATACTTTTTAAAAATAATATATATATATAATTTTCCAGTCTTAATTTTTATACATTCAAGATTATAATTTTTAATATCTTGAACTTTTTATTTTTAAAATTATATAAAAAAAAAGGATAACGATTTTCATAAACCTTTTACAATAATTTAAAAAGACAGTTTTATATTCTTTTTTAAATAATGGCTACCAAATGATGAATTTTACAAACACTCTAGCTTTGTAATTAGTATATCATTTAACATTATTATTTTTTTAGATAAATTACTGCTGATAGCCCGTCAAGAATGACGGGAAATATAAATTCTTTTACTCTTATATGGATTTTTTTTTAAAAAATACTTACTTTTATTTTCTTATATAAAATAAACGCCAAATTTCAGTGATATATTTATTCACTTTATTAAATTTAGCGTCAAATTTATGAATTTTTTAATCAAAAAATGAAGGGAGGATGTTGAAAAATAGGTAGATTATGTCATTTCCAGAGCTCCCATAATGTTGTTGAGATAAAACAAACTAATTTTTGCATGGCATATTTTGGGGTTTTACGATTTGAGCATAAATGTTTATTTTTAGTATTTTCAATTTGGCTAAATATAATTTAATTTTACATAATTACTTAGGATTAGCGTGCATTTAGGTTAATTTTCTGGTAGTTTGGCATGGTTAGTATAAGCAGTATTTACATTTAAAGCTAAATGTAATACTATCTTTACCTTTGTATACATATCTTATATGTATTCTTAACTGACTCAATTGAAGTACAGAATGATTCGACGCACTCATATGTGAGTATTAGGTCTCAGTAGTAGATACGAATTACAAGATGTATCTAAATCTATTAGGTACCGATTTATTAGATATTAAAACCGTACTATGGATAGCTTCTTTCACCTATAAGAAATAATCGGTAGTGTTAGACGAAGTGGTTTAACGAAAATTCTTAGTGAAATTGTCCTCGAAGATAATGCCATTAGCCATGTATAGTAAAGATGATGTTTTGCCTGATGCCACCGGGACCATCTATCATAAAACTTATATCTAGTAGTAAATAATTTTGGTATCTGTACCAATATGCCTGGATAATCCTGATCATACATAGCTATGTTTCCTCAGGTGTAAAAAATTAGTTGTCATTGCTCAATATAAGTTACAAATGTGGCATGCGGTAGACCTCTTTTTTGAAATCACATGGTATACATAAGCTATACACTTTCCAAATATGTTATTTTTTGGGATATCGGATCAGAAAGGCATTTAGTTTTATTTTAAAATCTTTACAAATTGATACCCATGAACAATGAGTAGGTCTTTAGAACCATCGTAAAGCCAATATTGGTTGCTATCGGTTCAAGTATTATAGTAGATAAAAGTCTATCAATTAAAACAGGGTTTGCCATATTTTAGAACAATAGTCATGGCATCATGATATCATTCTTGCGTATTCCTGAGAGATGGCCTGAAATGACGCATGTAAGACACAAATGGGCCCCTGTCGGGGATTCGTTTGAATTGGACCATGTTGAAACTAAAGAGATCCATCATGCTAGAACATTCTTCTACACGAAGCTCAGATTGATCAAATCGCATAAAGTTAATGTTATTAGCCTCAACCTGTAAATAGGAATCAACTATATATTGTTGCGTTAGACGCTCAACATTAAGAAGAGGATTAAAAATATTTTGGCGTATTGCTAATCGTGCAATTTTAAATTGTAACATTGAAATTTTAGATCTAGATGAATATTCAAAACCTTCAGCTATCATATTAGGAGACCAACTAGGTTCACCATGTGGAATAATAGTATGGGATATACCATGGGATCTAAATTTGGACTCAATACGTTGAGAATAATTAGATATTGGATAGACCATGATATCTCTTTTAAAAAGAAGCTCGCCATCTGCATTGTTGAAAATCATGGCTACATCATAAATAGATGGTAAATTATAACGGCGCCGATTGCTAGAACGTCTCCCTTAAAAATTCATATTAATGATGATAGTATTTTTATATTGGAAGTGGTTGCAAATTCTAATGCAGATTGTTGGACCTCGCAATAGGTTTTAAAACTAAGAGCACAGAGATAAATTTGCCGTAATTATAACTGATCTAAATGTTTCATAATATCTCTATTGCATTTAATATTTGCCAGATGTTGAATACTATTGGCTATAGACTGTGTAGTATCTAACACATATAACTGTGCATAAGTAGGTGGAGTATTAGAGTGGATATAAGTGAGAAGTACGGTGATACATTTGCTCATGCACTTTGAAGCAATAAAGGCCACTACCTGAAAGCTCCGATATTTGCTAGTCAAAATTTAGACCCCATGATATATCCCATACTATTTCTCCATGGTGAACCTGGTTGGTCACCTAATATGATTGCTGAAAGTTTCGAACATTCGTCTAGGTCTAAATAATCTATGTTACTAATTTAAGATTGCCCGTTTAGCCAAACGTCAAAAATTTTTTAATCCTCTTCTTAATGCAGGGCGCCTAACGCAATAATATATAGTTGATTCATATTTACAAGTTGAGACTAATAACCTAAATTATATAAAATATAAACAGACTAAGCTTCCTGTAGAAGAATATTCAGGATTAATGGATTATTTAGTATCTGCATGTTCCACTTTAATAGAATCTCCAATAGGCCACCCGATTATTCTACCTTCTTCATTTCAAGGCTCTCATAGGAATATGCAAGAACGATATCATGATGCTATGACTATTGTTTTAAAATATGGCAAGCCTGATATAAGTAATATAATCTTTATGCCGGTCAATCACCAGCTGATAGGCCAGATTTAATTGGTCGAGTAAATGCATTACTATCGGATATCCTTAATAATAAAATATTTGGAAGATGTTTGGCCAATGTGTTTACTATTGAATTTCAAAAAAGAAGCCTACCATGCCCATTTGTTATTTATATTGAGTAAGAACAATAAAGTTGAAACGTCTGAGGAAATAGATAAATATGGTTGTGCTTATACCTAATAAACTTACAAATCCATAATTATTCAATATTGTTATATGCTGTATACATGAACCCTGTGGCATTATAAATCCTCAATCTCCGTGCATGGATAAAGACATCTGCACAAAACTCAAATAGCCATGCCGAACTATGCCAGGAAATTAACCTAAATCACTAATCTTAAGTAATTAGTAAAATTTAGATTCTATAAATAAATTTAAATTATATTTAGTCAATTGAAAAATTAAAATAATTATTTATCTCAAATTACCACCCCAAAATATACCAGCGAAAAAAAATTATCTCTAGAGCGACATATAAAGTTGGCCATGAGAAAAAACAGGTTTTGGTAGATATAAATCTACATGATCGAAGGTTTGACCATTTCTTTTATTAATAATAATTACAAAAGCTGGGATAATAGGAAATTGACGACAAATTTAAGATAGAAGGGGGCTGAATAGGAAAAAAACGTTTACCATTGGAACGTTAAGCCTGGGGATCGAATCTGGTTGATGTAAAAAAATTTCTTTGCCTTTTGAAC